ATCACAGCGCAATAATCATAATAATTATGGATTTAATTGCCTGAACAATGCTTTTGTTTGTTTTAAATTAAAACGATGGACACTTGACACCGTTGTTGTTGTTGTTGTTGTTGCTTTTGTTGTTGTTGTTGTTGTTGTTGTTCTGGTGGTTGATGTCGGAGAGAGGGTTGCGCGTGAGGGTGCGAATTCTTGTTAACTGACTGTCAGCTGTAGTTCAAACTTGGATCTTGCTCAGCAATGAAGCTGCTCAAAGTGGACGGTTCCGGCTTATATCATATATACACTCAAAAATAAGGAAAATGCTCTGTCGCAAAGTTAAAGCTATTGTATGTCACTTATTTTTGGTTACACAATTCATAGACAACTTAAATCATATGCATACTGAAAGAAAATACGATTAAAAGAGTGAGAGAGAGAGAGAAGGAGAGAGAAAGAGAGAGTGTGAAAGAGGGAGAGTAGTAGGGAGACATACATACGTTGCTCGAACTATTAATATCAAAATCACAAACACAACACAATTTGGCACAACAAAAAATAAACACTTTTTACTCCAAATTTGGAAACCTGCGGGCTTACTTAAATTTATGAGAATCGAGGAGTAAGGCAGCTCTTAAAAGTACGTTCCTTTTCGATTCTTGCATTACATTACATACACATGTACATACATACATGCATACATACATGTATACGTACATACATACATACATATATACATACAAACGTACGTACGTACGTACGTACGTACATAACTACGAACATACGAACATACATACATGCATACATGCAAACATGCATACATGTATACATACATGCTTACATACAATCATACATACATACATACACACATACATACATACATACATACATGCATACATACATACATGCATACATGCTTACATGCTTACATGTTTACATGCTTACATTCATACATGCATACATGCTTACATGCAGACACACATAGATTTAAAAAAGCTTTTCGAAAATGAATTTGAAGCCCAGGGAATAGAAAAGAAAAGACTAATTAGAAAATCGGTTTCCACCAATTTCGCAGCCTAACAGAACCCCGTCCGAGCGTGAATTAATATCACAAAAAGTTTGTGCGCCTGGCCAATCAATCAGGATCAAATGTTCCATATGAATGGACGGATGGACAGAAAATGGACAGACTTGACATTACTTTGAGTTGTAAAACAGCTTTAATAGAACTGAAAGACTTTTCTTTCTTGTGTTCAAGCTCGCTTGGTTTATTAGACTAGATAACTATGTGGCATATCTTTATGATGGCAATTTAATTTATATATTCGATGAGAATACATTTTTCAACATTCTTGTGATTGACAGAGAGTAAATGAGGCAGTGCCCGGGCTGGCAAGCGTGCCAAATTGAAACATTATTTTTCATAGATGCCGCTGCGGAGGCGACGCGCCGGGGCCGTAAACAAAAGGACGAAGGACAACGCAACGTACGCATTTGCTGATAAGCAAACGGCGCACAAAGGACATTTTCATAAGCATTATACTGATTATGACACCAGTCGACAGAAACAAAGCACACACCCCCAACCCCCCAACCACAACCACAACCCCAAGCGTCCGCCCAGCTAAGATGTGAATTGGACGCATAGAAACTCAATTGTGGACGCACCCAGGAGCAGGCACACACACACACACACACACACACACACACACACAATGAAACAAAAGTGCTGATAAGCCGCCTAAAACTATGCAACGTCAAACTTATGCCCCACCCCCTACTCATACACTCACACACACACACACACACACACACCGCCCCTACCCCTGGGGCACATATGAGCAAGTCGCACAAATCGAAATCTATAAATGACTTTTATTGTTATGGCCTGCAGCGGCGACGCGGCGTCCTTTTCCTTTCTTCCTATCGAAGACAAACCAATAAGACGCCAAACTTTTCCTCGCACACACACACACACACACACACATGTGTATGTGTGTATATTGAAAAGATCGCTTATCTGGAAAGTTTTTGCGGTCGTTCTAGTTGCGCGCATCCGCAGCCGCAGACAAAAGCTGCACGGCAACAACAACAAGGACGCGTGTTCCCTTTTAAAGTTTCATTAATCAAGCGGCAAGCAGTGGGGTTGGGGTGCGGGTAGGGCTAGGGGTAGGGGTAGAGGGGGCCTGCGGTACTTTGTGCGACGGCAGCAACGTTTTATTATTTCAATTGCAGCCAGCGCTAAAAATATGAAACATCATTTATCAGGCTGCCTGCGCCGCCCACCCCTCGATAGACCCCAACTACACGCTGACAGTCTGCAGCTCTCTCTCTCTCTCTCTCTCACTCACTGTCCCGCTGTCTCTAACTCTCTCACACACACACACTCTGTGTGCGGATTTGAAATTGGCAACAACAATGCCGTGATTAATGGCTGTCAAAGCGAAAGAGTCAACAAATGTCAAGCACAAGGATGCACGCAAAATGCCAATTGACAGCGACAGCAACAGCAGCAAGTATGGGTAAGGGCATGCCCGACTAGAAGATACCCTGAACAGAGCATCGAGCGAGCTGCCCTCTTCTTCTCTTAGCCACATGCTACATATGTCAAATGCAGCCTTGATGAACTTCAGTGTTTGTACTCCGCTCTGTATGGAACTTATTATTATTAGCTTCGAAATGTTATCGATACTTATCGATTAGAGGAAAACGGGCGTGGTCATGAATCAGAACAAAGAGCTTTACTTCAGAACGACTGTTCCTATAAAGAAAGTCTACTAAACTAGATGTTACCTACGAAATAAGCTTAACTCGAAATTGTAATCGATTTTAGAGAAATAATATGTGTTTTATAAGGCTTTTCTCTTTTAAAGCGACTAAAAAGAGAAAAGCCTTATAATAGCTTAGTCCAATGTGAGAATGGAGAATTCGTAATCGAGAACATGTTTGGAGAAGTCGTTTGATCAAGATACGTTGAAAGAAATGAATATTTTCGACACAAGAGCCTTAAGTTTAAAAGAATTTCCAAAGGACATTCTTCAGATCAATGAAAGTAAACTGTTTTCAATATTTTTGTTAATTACATTTATTTTTATTTGGTTTTTTAATATTTTATTTTTTTTTTTTGAATTTTTTTTTTTTTATTTTTGATTTCTTTGTCTGGCGTTCATCTAGATTCGAACGCAACGCGGCGCATAAAGGTCCACTCTAAAGGATCCTATATCATTTTAGATGTGTGTAGCTTAGATTTTAGATATTTTTGATTTTTGACGTTGCACAATTAAAAAAAAAAAAAAACGTCGCTTATGCATTTTACATTTATTTAACATAGTTATGTGTGTAGGTAGTATTGTTTATATGTTTATATATATATATATAGATATATATATATAAGAATTTAATGCATAATTATTGAATAGACTTTTTTTTTCTTTTTTTTTTGTTTTTTTTTTTTTGTTGTTTTCACTTCTGTTTTTTCTTATACACACTTTGGTTTTTCTTTTCACTGCTTTTGCAATCAATCATAATTCTTTCATTATTTTTTTTTTTTTTTATATATTAAGTTTTATACGTTTACATACACGTGAATATTTTTGCTAGCTTATGTTTGTTGTTGTTCTCTATATTTTTGTATTTTTTCATTTAATTTGTAAGTTAACGCTTAGTTTTTAGGTAATTATAGATTAAATGGAATCGCATGAGTTGCTGACAATTAAATATGCATATTGAACATTAATAATAATCATAATAAAAAAAAAAAGTGTTTATATCATATTAATAAATACATTTATATTGTAACTAGTTTGCTTTTGTTTAGTTTTGCGTGCATTTTTCTATCATACACACACACACACACATACACACACAGACACACACACACACTCACACACATATATATCCCAACCTTTCCTTATAATTTCTTATACTCTTTACACTCGCATAGTTTTTTATTTATTTAATTTATGCTTATATCAAGGCTGCCCTCTTTTATAACTGTTTCTTTAAGCATATATTTTTACAATTAGTGACATATAAAAAAAAAATATTGTTCTTGTTTTAGCCTCGCACTAACTAAACTTAAATAATAATCAACAATGTTGTTTTAACAGACTTCGAAATGAACGCGAAATTTCAATTGTTGTACACATATAGAAAATAGAAAGTTCTTTAAATATTTACACATTACACAAAATGCCAATTTCTGTGTGCTTATTTTACAACTGGCGGCCTTCCAAATGGAGTTACAAAAACAAAAATATGCAAATCGAAAAAAAAAGGAGTGTATAATCGGTCGGTGGGGCTTGTTTAAGAAAATTAAAATTCTCAATTCGATCAGCCAACTTCTCTATGAACAACTCGACGGTTGAGTTAAAGCAAACTTCGACTAGCAACTAACTAAAGTCTAGTTAGTGACTAAACGCAACTGAAATATTATTTGCCTAGACTCTATCTACTTGTTTGCGGCATTATAATCAATATGCGTGGAGCTGTGAGCATTTTGGTCAGGGATATGGACATCAAAAGAGATCAGAGCACATCTAGCTTGGCTTGGACATAGAGGATGAAGAATAGGTCGCAGGGATCACAAGATCCTGCCTTGCCCCTAACTGAAGTCCGCTTGGTGCTGATTAGCGTAGAGCCCAGAGTGTTTGTCATAGAGAGGTCTGATAATATATAAATATTTTTTTTTTTTTTTGCTTTTGACAATTTTCAAGTAAAAGCTGCATAAATAAATCAGGAATACCATTTGAAATAGTTTCTTTCTTTCTTATTTTTTTTGCCGCTTATAAGTTTTTGTTATATTTTTTCGCTCTTTTTTTTTATTTTTTTTTTGGCACTGCTTTGAATTATTTTGGCACCGCACGCTTCGAGCGTTCAAAAAAAAGTATATATATATATTTATATATATCTATATGTATATATAATTATGCATGCATATGGTATATCGCGCATAGAAAGCGGTGCTGGGGCTTAAAAATCAACAAAACAAAAGTTAAAAAAAAAAAAAAAAAGTATTCATCATATTTAAAATTTAACAGTTTTCTTCTTATACATTGTTATTTAATACACATAATTTGTTTTTTTTTTGTATGTTTTGTTTTTTTTTGTTTTTTTTTCTCGCAAAAATTGCACGCAAAGTATTTACAGAGCTTGGAGGAACAGTAAATCAGAGTCAAAATAGTTGCGGGTTCTGTTTTTATATATATATATATATTTTAAATTAAAAAAAAAAAAGAAGAAGTTAAATAACTAAAGCTAAGAAACTTTAACTCAGTCAAAGCAAAACGAACATTTTATGGTTTAAACGTAGTTTTTTGTTTTTAAACATATTGATATATATATAAATATACATATATATATATATCGATATATGCGTTTGCATATTTGTAGCGGGCAATTGCGCATGGGCCGATCAGTTGCGATTGTAGAACTTCCTTTGGTAACGCCTGCAGCTGCTGCCCATGCTGCCAACGCCTCCGCCTGCAACGCCACCGCCGCCGCCGCCGCCCACGCCCATGCCCATGCCCATGCCCATGCCTATGCCCAAACCCAAGCTCATGAGCTGCTGCTGCTGCTGCTGCTGCTGCTGCTGCTGCTGTTGATGTTGATGTTGCTGCTGATGCAGCCCAAAGCCAGCAGCTCCATAGAACTGCTGACCAGAACTGCCGCTGCCGCTGCCGCCGCCGCTGCCGCTCATGCCCATGGCTTTATTTTAGCTGGACGCCCCCAGCTGATTCTTCATGTGCGCGGCGGCAGCTGCCGCTGCGGCGGCCGCAAATGGTGAGCCCACGCCGCCGCCGCCGCCACCGCCGCCAGTTGGGGTCTGTGGGCCATTGTTGTTGTTGTGATCGCCGGGTGTGCGCGGCCCGTTGACCATGCCGCCGCCGCCGCCGCCATTCACATTGGCGCCGCCCGTAACGCCGACCGGTCCGCCGCCCAGCAGTCCGCCGGCAGCGCCAGCGGCGCCTGCTGCGCCAGTTGGCGAGCCCTGGCCCAGGGATGACACATGCCGCTTCAGCATTGGATGATTGGCCATCGAGGCGAACACCAGACGCTCCTCGTAATCGTATTCGCAGAGTATTTTGTTCTCGCACAGGTAGAAGCGATCGCCAACGCAGAATCTGCATGGGAGAAAGAGTAGATTGTGTTCTTGAGCAAGGATAATCCATGTTTAAATCCAATTTTCATAATGTTTTAAGTGTGTGTGTGTGTGTGTGTGTGTGGCTCCGTCTCCGCCTCCTAAACTGTCTGATACCGGAATTTCCTCCTCCTTTTTCAGCTGTGAACCGTGCTTACAACTATTTATACTCTATATAACAGTTTTATATACATATATATATATATAAGTATATATAGCACTGTCTCGGCAAGACGCTGACGAGTTTGCCTGGATGTGGAGAGCTGAAGGCGAGCTGAGTGGCAGGAACAGGAACTGCTAACTGGAAACGATTTTTCCACATGCTTAAACCTGCGAGCGACTGACTGACAGCACAAAGATGACAATTGGCAGGCGAAGGCAACTGGAGCTGGAGCTGGAGCTGGAGCCGGAGCTGGAGCTGCCAGTGAATGGCCAGGAACTGAGTTGGCTGAAACAAAAGCGCAGACGAAGACGGGCACAGGCAGGCCGCAGGACTAACCGGCAAGCAGTCGGAACCGTATGGCATGGGCATATGATGACGGCTCACAAGGAAGTCAGATAAGCATTTGAAAATGTCACGAGCGGCAGCAGCAGCAGCAGCAGCAGGAAATGTTGCACAGATCTGCAAAACGTAGACTGCAAAGAGTTGCCTGAATGCCCAACAAGTTCCGCTTCAGTGAAGTGCAGTGTGCATTCAGCCAGCTGCAAATCAAGTTGTGTATGTGTGTGTGTGTGTGTGTGTCCGGGTGCAGATGCAACATGAAGCCCTTTGTCAAAATATTTATGTTAGCACCTGTACAGGTTGACAAGAGCAGCTGGAGTTGCCCAACATTTAAGCCCGACTCCAGTAAAGCCAAACAAGCCAAACATGGTCCCAGTTGTTTTGCTTGGCATGTGACAAACCGAATACCCTTACTTGGAGGCTCTCGAAACTATTTTGGTGCCTCCAAAGATCACATTCATGACATTAGTTCAAGTGTGGCATGATTCACATGAAGTGTGTTCCTAGATTTCCTTTTAACTAGCGTGTACTAGTTCTTTTGCTAAGTCCAGTTCCAGAACTTAAGCTGCATTTGATATTAGCTCGAACAACAATAACCAGGCATTATGTTATGTATAGCTCAGTCAGGATTTGCCAGCCCCTTTTGGCTAGTCCGCAGCTGTAACCAGTTGGGAATTATAAGCAACTTTAGTTGACGACTTTTCTTGTATCTTTGTACGTATGATTCGCTTAGACTGAGATCAAAACAAAACAAATAAAAAATGTTCTCAGCCTTGATTCTTGCTGCATGCTTCCAGTCTTTTCCTTTGAAATTTGTAGATCCTAGTTAACGTAATACAATAGATTTGTAAGTAGTTGAGGGCTGATGATTTCCAGCTCGAGATCCAACAACTTTACATGTTTGCATATATTCCTGTTACCGCCTTGCCTTAGGACTGGCAGACAACGTACTTAATCTATGCAAGCTCGAGAATATATAACAAAAACTTGAATATTTATCCAAAACTTCTGCTGCATAGCTCTATTTGAGCGCCAACTTGTTGGCCTTGGGCACATGCTCTCGAGCTTCTAGTGCAACATTTTTATGTTTGACAAGTACACGTAGTACCCCATCTGGACAGTCAGAAAGAGGGGTTACAGGGGGCGGGGGGGAGGGGGGGTACATGGGTAAAGCAGCTTACAGCAGACTTACAGCGGATATGAAATTCGGCTTTTGATTTACGTCAACTTTTTGTTGAATTTTTTTTTTTGTTTTGGTGTTTTTGTTGTTTTTGTTTTTGTTTTTGTTTTTTTTTTTTTGGTTACATTTTCTTTTTGGCTGCTGGCGGCGTTGCAGCAAATCGATTGACGGACTGGCTCTGCTCTATATGTATGTGTATGTGGGCTGTGTGGGCTTTGTGGGCGTGGCAGGGCATGACGCTGCCTCACGTCTACATGAAAAACGCTTTGTTTATCTACCAAAACAACAAAAAACGCCAGAGTCAACAAGGTATAAAAAAAAAAGAAGAAGAACAACAACAGCAACTTTTGGCTGTGGCATTGAACGCACCTGTGACATGCACACCACACATCAGACATGTGTGTGTGTGTGTGTGTGTGTGTGTGTGTGTGCAGGACTCGCACATCCGGGCAAGCGAAGACCAGCAACAAATTGTCAACAGGAAATACAAAAATTGTTAAAATGGCGCACGCTGTTATTTCTCTTTAACTCACTCCCTCTCCCTCTCTCTCCCTCTCTCTCCCTCTCTCTCTCTCCCACTCTTTTACTTTTCGGCTTGCTCTTCCTCTTGCGCGTGTACGAAAGATTCACTGCCAAACTTCGCGCTCTGTTTACCGTTGCCGTTACCGTTAACTTCCCCCCCCCCCCCCCCCCTCCCGCTGCATCAGCTGGCTGCCACTCAACTAACAACGTCGTCGATGCTGGCGACAGGAAATTATGCAAACTTTTCAGCAACAACATAAAAATAAATAAAAAAAAACAGCAACACATTTGATGCACTTTGGTTAACAGAAAAAAACGAGAGAGCGAGAGCGTGAGAGAGTGAGAGAGAGAGAGAGGGAGGGTAAGGAGGACGGTGCGCCACAGTAAAGAGAAAAATAAAATGCAAAACGACTTTCTGTTGTTGCCGCTATTCCGTTCATGATGTGGCAAGTGAAGGCCCGCATTTTAAATGTGAAATGTGCGACCGACCAACAATAATATTGGGCAGCAATGGTGGGCAGGGGGCATGGCCATTGCATGCTACCCCGCTGGCCATGTCGCAACGCCTCAATGACTTTTTGGCAATTGAATTAATTTACGTAAAAAATTGATTAGCCGCAAATGGAAGAGCGCATAAAGCAGACCACTTCCGATCCGTGTGACCAAAGAGTGTAACTTTGAGTGTAGAGGTTCCATTAATTTCCCTTAGGGAAATTTAAGTGAACAGCTTATGCGTGTCTTAAAGGCAATTGTTGTTGCATAGGCCTGTTAATATATATATAACATTGCACTGTTACAGAATAGAATAGAGGCCGAGTCTCTTAACAGACAGCAGACAGAGGCTTGGCTCTGCTAACAGATAGCCAAGCGTTGTTCTTAACAGACGCCTGTTACAATTGTAACATTTTGCTGTGCCAAACTTATATTTAAAAAAAAAGAAAGAACTAAAACGAAAATCGAATATTATTTAAAAGAAAATGCTAACAACTATATACATTTCAATCAAAATTGCGGCCTAACGGTTCAACAATCCCGAGGGACACATGCCGCACTCAGGCCACAATCTTGTTTGGGACACGCCTACTGTTACATTTTTAAAGCCAATTTTCGACAATATGAAACAAAAGCGCCAGAGATTGCATTGCAGCAGCCGGGGCAGCGAATACAATTGTATGTAACCGGGCGCTGCCCCTGCAACCGAGGACTGCGAACTGCGAACTGCGAACTGTGGACTGGGTGGAATTTTTACAATAAGCCAATATGTTTTAACATTTATTTCAATATTTTTGTATGGCAATGCCGTGTGGCGGCATTTTTAATATTTAATGCGTTTCGTTGCACAAGCAACTCGCATGGAGAATGTAGACAGGTCGGGACAGGATATGGGGTTAAGGTTCGTCCGGAATGGGGCCCATATGACCGAGACGCCAGCATATGGGCGAGCCGCATTAATAATGCAAAAGGACCTAAAGAAAAAAAAAACACACAGAGAGAGCGAGAGAGAGAGAGAGAGAGAGAGAGAGAGAGAGAGAGAGAGAGAGAGAGAGAGAGAGAAGGACTTACTGACCAGACCCGGCCGAGGTGTACGCACTTTGAAACTCTCCAGAGTGACATTTCCCGAATTGGCCAAATGCAATAAATTTTCGAAGAGACGAGAAACTGCACGCAAACCCATTTAGATGGGCTAAGACGATGACTAGTTGATGGCACCCCAAAGGGTTCGGGGAATCAAATATGCCCACGAAATTTATGCGGTTTTCATAGAAATTCAATGGCACTCAAAGGGGTTGCTTTCGCCCCTGGCAACCGGGCCCCCCCCCCCCAACCGCCCCATTCACCAAATAAATGGCAAACAACCTTGTAAATGATGTCAATTTGTTGTTGTTATTGCCGTTGCTTTGCTGCATAATAATAAAATTCTAAGTGCCATTTTGGCTTTGTATATTGGCCAAAGATTAAAAAGGGATTTCTCTGGAAGGGCGAGTTGTGAAGCTCCTGATAGTCAAATGGCCCATAAAAATGCATAAGTATTTTTATGTATCTAACATGCGAGTGGAACAATTGCTTGCCGCGAGAGATCCAGCCATGTGGCAGGTGGCTTCTTGCCTTGAAGTCCATTTTAGCTATATATTTAGCTTGAATAGACCTAGTTTTAGCTAATATTTTACATATGCCTAGTTAGATCAAGGCATCTGGTAAATAAAATATCTTCGACAAGCTGAAGTCTGAATACCCTTTACGACGAATATGTGAGAAACTGCTGCAGAAGGACGAACGTAAGACTTGGCTATGTCAGCTCGTAACTCGATGCTGATCGGATCGGAGATGCCTCCTTTTATGCCTTTTATCACAACATTATAATACTCTATGCAAAAGTTAAACAATGGGTTATTGGCTTAGTTTTTCAAGAAAGTGGATATCGAAGAGCCTGAATGTATCGATATGAGTGTATGCAGCGATGATAGCTCACCTGTGATTGCATTGCTGGCATGCAAAGCACTCCAGGTGATAAACATTGGTGCGTGCACGCATCACCATCTCGAAGGCTGGAATGACTTTGCTGCAGGCGGCACAGTAGCCCGTGTTGCCGAATAATCTGCAAGAGACAAAGACGAAGACGAAACCGAAAATTAAATTTATTCTATAATTACTCTATCGCTCTCTCTCTCTCTCTCGCTCTGTTGGATTGCGTGCCACTCACCTCAAGTAGTCGCGCTTGCAGAGCATCAGGTTGCCCTTGGTGTAGAGTGTGGAGCCGACCTCGCCGAGGCGGCAATCGCAGCAGCCGCACTTGAGGCAATCCTCGTGCCACAGCATGTCCAGGGCGCGCAGCAGGTAACGGTCCTGGATGTGCTTGCCACAGCCGGCGCACAGTTGGCTGCCGTTGTTGTTGTTGTTGTTATTGTTGTTCGCGGCGGCGGCGATGCTTTGCACGTTGCCATTGTTGTTGTTGTTGTTGTTGTTATTGTTAACAGAGTTGCCATTGCTGAGGCCATTGTTGTTGTTGCCATTGTTGTTCTGACCGTTGTTGTTCATGTTTGCGGCTTGTTGTTGCTGCTGTGCCGATTGCTGCTGCTGCTGCTGCTGCTGCTGCTGCTGCTGCTGTTGATTGGATGATAGCCCGACAAGTCCGGGTTCAGTTTTGGTTATATCCATAGTCATCATCTGCAGAGGAAAAGAGACCGAATTACCGATTAGTTCGATTTACACCCTTTCATATAAATATATATATATATATATAAATATGCATGTGTGTGTGCGTGTGTGTGTACATTGGGTCTGCTTATGTCCAGCCAGTAGCATTCGTAGGGCGACAGCGATCGCCTCCATTGATTGTTGTTGTTGTTGTCCCTCTCAAAGTTTCTGGGCACGTTGTTAATGCGCTGTATGTAGCTCTCATATCCAAAATCCTGCGGTATTGCCGGCACAATGAACCGTTCAATAGCATATAGGTCAACGAATTTGTAATCGGTGTTGAATTCGTAGTCAAAATCAATCGTATACATGGTCAATAATGAATCACAGCGACAAAATACTAATAAAATAAAAAAAAAGACAGCTCTTAAATGTGCGTAGCACTCAAAAATAAACAATTAAAAATAATAATCGAAGCGAATGCGCCACAGACAATGCCGTCTCGCCGCAAGTGTTGATCAATGGCAAAAAGTGAGCTTAACGGCATTTAACAGCTGCTGCACGCACTAACAGTGCTCTCTAATTTCGTTTACAGACGGCGGCGCAGAGCATCTGCTCTCGAACATTTTGCACAGCATACTTTTGCGCGCATCATGTTAATGCGCTGTTAAGCTTGCAGAATGTCTATTGGAGTCGTGCCAAATGTTATTACATAAGATTTTGGGCGTGTTTATAAATAGTGCTTACACAAGCCGCTGTCAAAGTTAATGCTAAATACACAAATATTACCAAAAAAAAAAAAAAAAAATTTTAAAAATAATTGTGATCATTTCAAGAACAGGGCTCGTCCGGGAGTTGAACCCGGGACCTCTCGCACCCGAAGCGAGAATCATACCACTAGACCAACGAGCCATTGCCTGCGTGCCTGGCACAAATACAATGTCAATGCCAGCTAGCAAAAGCTGCGACCCTGACACGATCAAGCTGATGTTGCGCGTCGCGCCGTATCAGCGCTTCGTGTTCTATTTTTAGCATATCGCAAGCTTCGATCGCTGCTCGCTGACTAACTGTTTATGCAGCTGCGCCTGTTTGGTGCGTGGGCGTCGGTCCTTGTCATAACCCGGCTAACTGTTGACCCGTTGACAGATTGCCTCTTTAGCTCAGTGGTAGAGCACTGGTCTCGTAAACCAGGGGTCGTGAGTTCAAACCTCACAGGAGGCAGGCTCAGCGATTATTTTTTGCAACAACTTTAAGCGATTTTTTTTTTTTTAGTTTTCCATTTATGCAAACTAATTGCACGAATTTTGAGCCTTCAACCGCAGCATATACATATACAACTGTCGCCCAATTGATGTCACTTTTGCTGTGCTCTTTTTGTTGTTGCTGTTGTTGCGAATGCGTCGCTGCAAATTGCTGACTGCAGCGGCGCGATAACGATAACAAAACATGGCCAAGGCCTCTGTCAATGGCCAACAGCAACAGCAACAACAACGACAACGACAACGGCAACAAATCAATGCAGAAAATGCCAACAACGATTTAAAATAACGAGATTTATGACAAATTGGCATTGGCAGAGCGCAAAACGCAATGGAATGACATGGAATTGAGAATGGTGCGGCATGGGCGTGCCATGGGCATGGCATGCAGCAGAAAAGAGGCCAAAATCAAAGCGCTAAATACTTAGTTGGTTTTTGCCAATTTCAGTTGCCGGCGAAACCCTAAAAATATGCTATGCCAACACGCAACAAAGTCCAAACGAGCCTCTGCCTCTGCCTCTGTCTCTGTCTCTGTCTCTGTGGCATGGTGTGCTCCCTTCATATGTGCAACCATTGTCTGCCCCGGCGTCAATTGTCGTCGTCCATGGCCAAATGCATTAAGCCAACACTGCTGCTGCTGCTGCTGCTGCTGCTGCTGCTGCTGCTGCTGTTCATGTAGCGCCAACTGTGACCCGGCCTTGGGGCACACAGCGTCGCGTCTGCGGCTGTTGCATGGGCCTGTGCCCGTGTCCGTGCCCGTGCAGCTCGTGCAGCTGCTGGCAATGACTTTAATTAGACGACGACTGTGCCCGGTGTCAAAAACTCATCAGCCGCCTCGACGGTCAACGGACGACGGACGACGGGCGGACTTCGCTCATAAAAATTCAATCAAATCAATTTATGTAAATTTAACGCCCGCCCAAATCGAAGCGAACAATTGCAATCGGCCAAGTCAGAGGCCAGCGCAGCTACATTTTTGTAGCTCCGCCGGCCAATTCCCCCTTGAGCCGCATCCCCTTTCCACTGACACAACAGAGCGGCGCATTCGGACTGCATTGTTATTTAGTTTAGTTCAAAATGAATTGAATGCTAAATGTTGGCGAAACGTTTTCATATTCGAATTTCATTGCCAATGCAATGGGCCACAAAATGCAATTGCATGCGGCGTATGTGTGTGTGTGCGTGTGTGTGTGTGTGGGCGTGGCCACAGTTTTATCGGAGACAGCGCATTCATTGAGCATTCATAGTTTTTGCGCTATGCGTAGGCGATCAATTAATTTATGCATTACATTCATCTCACAGCCCCCCCCCCCCCTCTCTCTCTCTCTCTCTCCCACCCTTCTCCTGCTCTCACTCCCACGCTGCTAGCATTGAAAATAGTGCTTTTCAATTTGAATGCAATTTAACTGACGCTTTGCCTGCTTTGTTTCATTCCATTCCATTTCATTTTCTATGCCATTCCATTTAAATGCATTTCTGTTTGTTATGTTCCATCGCTTTCATTCCATTCCATTTCATTTTCTATGCCATTCCATTTAAATGCATTTCTGTTTGTTATGTTCCATCGCTTTCATTCCATTCCATTTCATTTACTGCTTTGCTCATTTGTGTGTCATTTTTAGTTTCATTCCATTTTGTTCCATTGCCATTCCAGTCCGTTAAGTTCATGTAATGATCGTTGGATATGCTACTGTCTTTTGCTTTGTTTCATTCCACTCCATTCCCATTCCAATCAACTATTCTTCACATTTGTTCACATATGATATATTTACATGTGTCTTTCATTCCATTTCATTTTCCATGGCCCAAACAATTTCCTTTCGCTTGTCGCACTTCATTCATTTCAATTTCTGTTCCATTCCACTTAACGATTTGTGCTTCGATCATTCGACTATTTGTTAAAAAAAAAAAGAAAATACCCGCTAATAGCCAGCAATATTAAATGATATAATAGTGCCTGCAATTTCAATAATTACATATAATTGGTTATCTATTTTTCAATTTGCCGGAATGTTGCTCCGCCCCGATTTGAACGTTGCTTAGCCAAACACTGGCCGGCCACATGGCCACATGGGCACATGGATTGCCGCCGCTTGGCCCGCCAGAAGTGCGGAAAACGGAAACGCAACCGATACCTGGGCCGGCGCTAGGCGGCAGGGGAAACTAATTGCGCGACCAGAGCGCTCATTAAAGCCAATCAATATTCAAATTTCCAACGCGGTAATACCCATACAGTTGGCGGACGCAGACCCTTGATGTAGATTTTTGGGGGTTACACAACTGGCCCGACGGCATTTTCACAGTTTAGTTAGCTAAGCGGATGCCGTTCAGCCCCTAGCCACGCGAATCGGGCGTGTGAGGCGCAATCGGGGCAGGTGGTTCGGGCCATTGCGTTTCGTTTCGTTTCGTTTCGTATTTGGTTCCGGCTCTATAATTATGCATATGCATGTGGTGCGGGTGGTTAACCCTTTTTAACCCCAATTGCGCCAGGTACGTCTTGTTGAGCTTGGGTGGAGTGGAGTGGAGTGGAGTGGAGTGGGGTTGGTCAGAGGATTGGGTATAAATTACATGTTTGCACGCAAGTTGACGGAAGTTACGACGGTTATAAGAAACTGTCGCTGGGCCCGTGCCGTTCCATTCCGCGTTCCATGCTCTTCTGGAAATTACGTTGATTTTGCGTTCAGTTATGTTTATGGTTTATTTATTTGGCTTACGACCAGCCCACAGAGCAGGCCACAATGCTGCAATTTTGCGCCATGTATTATGCATGCGCTCCGAAAAGTAGGCAATGCAGCTGGTTGTTAAGAACTCAAGCCAGTGACGGCGGTGGCAAAATGTGTAATGGGGTACGGCCGGGTGCGGCAGGGTGTGGGAATGTGGGGGCAAATGTTGTCGCATGTCGTCATGTGGAGCGGATTTAATGACACTAATTAGTGGCCGAGGCTCATGTGACAAACGCGTTACGGCAACGCCAGGCGGGCCACGTTTAACAGCAAACCCTTTTCTTTGTAACAACACCCACCCAGCACCACCACCCCCATTCCGCCCCTGCACTCACCCGCTGGAGCCACTTCAAAAATCAGAGAAATTCTGCATATGCCTGCAACAGCTGCAAATCGGAAGCCCCAACTGTGTGTGCGTGTGTGTGTGTGTGTGTGTGTGTGCGTGCTTTTGAAGTGGCCGCCGCAAACCCCTTTTGACGCCGCCCCTGGCTCAGCCTTAATTGGTAATTAATTTATTTTGCATAATTTTTCGCACCGTTCGCTTTGCCCGTTGCACATTATGTTGCTGACATGTGTGTCTCTGTGTGTGTGTGTGTGTGTGTGTGTGTGGGGGCGGGTTGCGGATGGCGGGCTGGGTTTCGCATTAAGGGCAAACGCAATTTTGTTTATTTGGTTTTGGGCTTTCGGTTCGTTGTCGTCGCTTCGTGCAACTGACGGACATCGAAAGGTGTCAAAAAGTGCGAATTAAGTGCGAATAAACGTGCTGAGCGTGCACTGGACACGCCCCCCAGCCACTGACACACACACACACACACACACACACACACACACACACCGCCGACCACACCTGTCTGTCTGTCTGGGAAGCGCGGGTTGCATTGCGTAAATTTGCATTGGCGCCGCACAAAAATCACATAAATTGAATTTGTGCACGCAACGCGAGACGCGAAAATTGATGGCAAAATTATGAAAAATAATCGACTCAGTGATAAAAGAATAATAATAATAATAATAATAATAATAATAGCAGTAAAACGTTTACTTAACAGCTTATAAACGAAGCTAATCAAAGCAACAAAGCAAGGAAATAAATCAAATTATGGCCACAAATTAGCAACAATATAAAATTGATTTAAGCTTCATGCAATTTGCGGCGTGATTTTGTTGCACAGTGTGTGGGACCCAGAGCCCAACTGCATTTCCAAATCAAAGAGCAGGGCTGAATTTAAGAGAAAGATCAATTTATGTTGCCTACTTTTCAGAGCAAAACGATCAAACTGCAGAGAGAGAGAGACAGAGAGAGAGAGAGCGAAACCCCTTGCTATTTCCATGTTTTAGTCAAATGTGGAATACGTAAATATTGCTTAAAGGTCAAATCGCTTTAAAGGTCCAACGAGAACACCTGCATGAGCTCAAATTCAATGTCCTTTGGCCATGCAAGGCTTCCGCGCACAAATTAAAAATAAATAAATAGAAAAAAAAAACAGGAGTAAAAATAGGTACATCAAACTTATGCAAAACAAAAGAGCAAGAAAACTGAAAAACAG